TATAACAGCTAATCACAGTTATTTATAATAAAAAACGTTTATAATTTTATGTATTCTAAAAAAGCTTTGCATTTTTTAGATAAAAAATTTACCTTTAACACTATTGTTATGTTTAAAGTGCCTAGTATAAGTCTAATTGCTGTTATAGATATAAAGTATCTTTATAAAGTGCAGTTGTATAGTATATAGTAATGTTTCAATGGGTTTAACTGATCATGTATTACAAATCAATTATAAATATAACTTGTAAAACTAAATAAAGTCAAAAAAAGAAAAAAAGTTAATATGAGTGTAGATAGTAAAAAATTTAATATTATGACAATCAGCTGTTCAGCAAACACTACATTCAAAATACAAATTGTCTGACTCCAATAATTAAAGAACACAAATATATTGGAACTAAACTCAATGACGACTGCGACAAAAAAATATTTTTTAAAACTAAAACTTTTAAATGGTAGATAAATGTTATAGTATCCTAAAAAAACAATATATGATATTCAATTTTAAAGTGATTATAAACAAATCAATGATATTGGCAATTATTTTTTTAGAGCAACTGATTATAATTTGGCGATTTGGTTAAAGATATTATTATAATTAGCTAAATGGTAAAGTTCATTTGCTAATGCTGCATACTGTTGTAGTATCTACAAAAACAATATGAACCGGTGTGAAATAGTAACAGCACTCAAAGATGTTTTAAAAAACAAATCAGCTGGTACTTATGCAATACCAAGCAAAGTTTGTAAACTAGTCCAAAGTAAAGATAAGCCAGAATCAAATATGGAAAAACTAATCCTAAAATTGACTAACAAAATTTATACTGCAGATGGAATATCAACAATATGGATATCCAGTATTATGGTAACAGTACCAAAAAAGGGGGGCTTTGACAATCCCAAAAACTATAGATTTATTTTGCTAATAGTAACAACGATTAAGTTGATATGCAAAATAGCGACTAAAAAACTAAATAAATTATCAATAATAATAATATATTATGCAAAGAACAAGCTGGCTTTGGAACACGCAAAAAATGCATTGAACAAGCTACTATTTTATACAAAATTGATTGACGCCGCAAACTACAGGGTCTCAAAACGTATATATGCTTTATTTATTATGCAAAGACATATAATAAAGTCTCACAGGCTGGGC